TCCTGGATCACAGCCATCTAGCTATAGGTTCGTAATAAAACTGATAGCTGAATGCTTACATTAGCGGGATATAGTTAGAGAGGTTGACTCAATGTACCTTTAATGAAACCAAGTAAACAAGCCAAGAGAGGCGAATGTCTGCCGCGCGCTTTGTCACAACACAGCATTTATCTTCGTCACATACGACTCACAGATAACGCGCGGCAAACAAATCGGCAATAGAAAAAAACTTTTTGGAAAAATAAGGTACACACTGAGTGAAACAAACTATTAAATTATATAATCAATCCCCACCCTCTCTCAACATCTTCATACCCCCTTCTCTATATGAAATGACCTTTTGGCCTTATTCATGTTCTCTCCATACAAGTAAAAAAGCGAATCACCAAAACTTCATTTAAACACACTGAAACTATACTATCCCTTTATAACCAAATTAGCACTTCCACAACTACCTCACTGCAACACCTAAAATCACAAAACAATTTTTTTTTTGTTACTTCATATAACATTCTACGAGAAACAAGTTTCATTGATTAACAAACTATAGTCATTATCTTTACCAATTAATGTCCAATATACGTTCACGCCTTGCCCTTCATTCATCTGCACCCCCTAGATATACAACGCTACTGCATTACTCACACATCCCTAAGACACATAAAAAACTTCTCACACGCCCAGTATACGACGCCCAAATGTACGCTCCCGTTTTGTATACATTTCGTACCCGTCGATGCACGACCGCGACATAAAACTTCCTTCTTTTTTTGTTTTTGTTTTTGTTTTTTGTTTTTTTAATTATTATTCTAAACTTAGATGCGGTCCTTTCAGATTCAACCCCAGAAAATTTCGCCAACATTTGACAAATTAAAGGCAACTGAATATGGTCGACGAAGTTTGACACAGCGCGAATTCACTTTTTAAGTGACGTTTTCGGTTTGTTGTCATCCAGAAATTTTGCTACCTTGGTAACGTGACATAACGTCACTTCTCCTATCTATTGAACACATCTCATGAAAACTATTTTCCTGAAAAGTGATTCCTGTCTGCAGAAAGTGCAAGGCTTCACTGAGAGTGATGGATAGTATAATTTAAAGCATCGTTAATGTTACCATCTAATATCTTTTTTTGCCACCCAATTCGCCAGATTTAAGGTGCAATATTACCAGAAAAATAGCAACGGTGAAGGAAAGACCAAGGTTGGAGAAGGTGAAGTTCTCTACATTGTCTCAAGACATCCTAGCAAAGCTGCGGCGAAAACCAAACAGTATGTAACCTGGGAGGACGCACTGCGTGACATTAAGGTCGAACTGCCCACGGATCAATGGGGAACTGGGCCCGAATTAAAGGCCGAAGAGGCTGACCTACTGACGTTTGGTTGCTGCGAATGCTGCCATGGAAACACATGCCGTGGTTTCTCTGAAGCGATGTGCGGGGCTTTTCCACAACATTCAACGGGGAATCAGTTTTTCACTCCAACCATGTTTTCAGCGTATCACAGGGAAGGTTACCGTGCAAGTATGGAAGCTAAAGTAGAGGAGTTTCTGAATGAAGAATCCAACTCTTCCCAATCAACGGCATTCATAGTCTAATTGTTGTTGTTGTTGTTGTTGTTTTTTTTTTTTTTCTAGTAATACACATATTGCTGGTTTTCATTGACATTATGCCATCCAAAAAACAAACAAAACAAATCCATTGACGGACCGGGTCCAGAATCCAGGAAATGAAAGGAGGTAAATGTGCAAAGGTGCTCGCCAAGATTTAAGTCAGTGCTTCATTTCACATGCGAGATATTCGAAGAGTATGATTTATGAAGACGCCACGTTGGATGGGCACCAACATGGCGACCAGAACCAACAGAAACATCTGTAACTGAGTTACGCTACGAAAGCGTGAATTCAGCTCTCAAGGAACTCATAAACATTAAAGCAATATTTTTCTAATTCAATGATTGTTCAAATCAAAAATCCCCCAAAGGAAGTCACCTTTTAAGTCTACATGCCAGCTTTCTCGGCCGCCAAAAAATACCGCGTCAAGTAAAAGCTAAGAAACTCAAGCCTACTGTATTACTAAACGAAGTGTCCTTACGAAGTGAAAATTGTCTAAATATTAGTTTAAGCTTCCCTAGTACTTCATGAAGGATCGATAATTCTCTAGTTTTGAAGTTTGATGACGTCATGAGAAAACCAGCATTGTATACGCCATAGTAGATTGTATACAACGGCTGCAGAGTGATGAAACTAGCATATTTACTGTTTGACCTGCGTGACAGCTAAAAATTAATACAACAATTCGCAGTGTTATGTTGACAAAAATTATTTCGCTGACTCTACAAAGGAAACCTCAAAAAATCCTAAATCGATGTTCTTCAGTTCGGTAGTCTCCTTCACAGCTGTGTTTTATGGAAGTTTCGACAGAAGTCTTTTCGGGCAGTGTGGAGTCTTCGATACAGGCTAATATTAGCTAATATTTATACCAATATTTTAGAAACGAATGCTTTCCGTTACTTGCAACTAATGTAAATCACTCTGAGCGACCAATTCTCATCCTCGCGCTTGAAAGCTGTAAAATTAAACCCTTGACTTGTTTAGAAATACACTTATGTGTAGCTAAGCTAAGAGCAATTTATTACCAGCAATTAGTATATACACACTCAGTGATCTTGGTGATTTAAGCAATCTAATTGGTTCGCTATCTCGGACAATTCAACAACATTCACTTCCTAGCGAGTAGATAATGTGTGAGCTCGGTGTTTTCCCAATTTTTTTTAGAGGACGATCTTTTAAAAGTCAACAAAATCCTAGGGTTGACATTTCTTAAGGCACGAAAAGACTTGGAATTACACAAAACGGCGTTTTTCCATTTCCTTTTGCCGCGTTTTATGCTAGATGTATTGTTTATACAACCCCCGTTTAGTCGCGTAGAAAAAGCCGTTTCGTGAACTCAGAGTTTCCTAACAAGAAAATTTGACCCAAAATCGAAGTTTATTTATGAAAAACAAATTTGAAGGGGACTTCTTACCTCGAGCAACCGAGCCGCCATTTTTGTCAGCACTTCATGCGAAGAACGACAAAACAAACCCTTTTGGCTCTAAACTTGGCGAGTCGACCGAAAAAAACAAAGCTCTACTTTTCTTCTTCATTTAAGCCATTACGTTGTTGTTTGCGAATTGATAAACTTGTGAATTGCCAAGTTGGAAAATTCTGCAAAGATCTATTTTTAAACTCTCGCGTGATTTGATCCGTCAATCAAATCGTACTTTTTGGTGGTTTCCTCTCTGATTTTCTTGAGATCATTTCGTGTCTATATACTAAAACAATTATTCCTTTCAATCTCGGTGAATAGTGGCTTTAGGAATATTTACCTTGCTGCTTCGCGCCTTGGTAAATATATTCAGCCTCTATCATCGCACCTCGGTTTCAAAGAAAATTGGTTATACCAGATGGGCATTTTTTAATTTTTAAATTATTACTTCAGATATGGATAAATTCATATTCTTAAACACTAACCGCATAATTTTGTTCAAAGAAGATCTCTTTGTGCGCGGCTTGATATTTCAAACGTTCCTTGAAATTCAATTTTTTTAAACTGAATGCAAATAAACAACGCATGCGTCATCAACCCAATTGGTCGATCGCTAATATTTAAACAATGTTTTACGTAGACCGTATTTAGGACGATCTTTAAACCTCCACATATCCGTTTTAGTGTTTAGAGTTAGAAATGTTTTTATTTTCCTCATATTGGCTAGACTTCGTGAATCGCCCCAATGTGTTTTGTTTCAAGTTAATTTTGCGATGGTCCTTTACTGGAAAATGTTTTGACGTTTCCCACACTCTCCTGCTAATGTCTTGTTACCCAGGAAAACAGAGTGGGTTCTAGAACAATGTCAAGAAATCAAGTCTAGAAGCCTTTTTGATTTTCGAACTTTACTCACTTCAATTCCCCGCCTTATAAACAAATCAATAAAAATCGTAAAATTAAACCTCACCGTATTGTATTACAGTGTTGTAATTAGAATACAAATTTTCTTACCGCAGAAAAGGAAACAACAATTTCGTTTTAGGGCCAAGCATGGATTTTCTCCCCCTCTGACCCTAAACTTTTCAACAAACAACAAGAAGTCAAACAGGAAGACGCAAGCGAAATATCCCTTGGTTATTAATTAGCTTTTCGGGAATGCACATGCTTTGGATTTTAAAGCTTGTCTCGTGTAACCGAAGAAATATAATTATATCTGGTTGTAGAAAATTTTACAAACAAAGAAATAACCAGGTTGAGTTTGATCGTCCGGGTGAACGTAGTCCTGAATAGGACTTTTGTTGTTGACAGTGACTGACGTTTCGACAACCTGTGTGGTAGTCATCTTCAGAGTGGAGATGACTACCACAGATGACTACCACACAGGTTGTCGAAACGTCAGTCACTGTCAACAACAAAAGTCCTACTCAGTATTGATGATCAAACTCAACCTACTTTTTAGTGAAATTACTCCTGGGTTCAAACCTTGCACAAAAAAAATAACTGGCATGACACAGCCAGCCATTTACTTTGCGGCTCAAGGCTAAGTTCGTGACCGTTTTTGACTTCCGCTCTTGACTAATTAGGTAATAATGCCCCCTCTTCCTCCCCCCCCCCCCTCAATGCGGTCGAACGGTCAATAAAACAGGAACCCCAAAAACCATTCATACATTTGTCAAAATTTTATAACAAAAAGAAGAACAAATTGCAAAGTCTAATAGGCAGTCGTGTTCCAACCGAAAAAAGGAAAAATCAATAAACCTCACCGCATTGCATTATAGTGTTGTAATTAGAATACAACAAATATTTGTTGCAGGAACAAATCTTTCTTGTGCATTCAGTAATGCCTTAGCAACTCGAGACAGGAAAATATAATGATTTAACACATCCTTGGGCAGTCACTATAAAAAAACGGCATCTTACGAGCTGTACTATTTCACATCAAGACCAAGGTTCAGAGTTGTTCTGAAGTCGCTATGAAGACTACTGTGGCCATTGTATTCCTTCTACAGGTGTCATTAAGATTTGGTAAGTTTCTTTTATGAGAGTATTAAAAATTTCTTTAAATGTTTTTCTGGATAATTCAAGAAGTACGTTGATCAATTTTATTAAGTCAAGTACATCACCCTTTCAGTCGTTTGAAATTCAGCGTTTTCTGATCATTATTTTCTAATCATTCAACGTTTTCTAATAATTGCAATGGACCAAGGTTCATGGTAGTTATTTGGTATTTAAAAGAACTACAGGCCCGTACCAAAAGAAATGTATTGCAGAGTAATTTTTAGCTTGTTCTTTTTCGTGATACACTGTCAAACACAAATCGCAAACTTATCAGCGTATTAAGAACGCAAAAGTTTGTATCGTAGATTTTTTTTGAAACAAATCCACGACAGTCGAGATACCTGGCGCTCGAGCGGATGTCGAAGCTATCCGCCCCTCTTTGATGAGAACGAGCCTATTCCAGACCAACGTCGTTCCCAGGGTTGGAAAGAGTGGGAGAGAACCCTGAGAACAGGGTTGGTTCCAGGCCCTCAGTCGATTGATAAGTGCGACTAAGGAAGACTACGACCGACGAAGAAAGTTGCCATTAAATGAAAGCCTGAGTCATGCAGGTGTTCGACGAGGAAACGTGAAGTAGCTAGCAGATATCGCTTACTTCTTCCATCTCTTGTATGATTAAAGCCTGAAAGAATGTCCACTATAATCGCCCTGATTTCTTTTAAAAGGTTTTTCTGAAGCGGCTTGTGATCAACCGCTTGGAATGCAGAACGGTGCCATTCCGAACTCCGCATTGACTGCTTCCAGTGAGGCAGGCGTTGCTCATAGCCCTAACAGAGGAAGGCTAAATTATGCGACACCTGCACCTGCTGCTTGGTCGTCTGGAGGTGCTCATTATCTAAAAAACAGCTGGTTTCAAGTTGACTTTGGAAGTTGGACTAAAGTGACGAGGATTGCAACCCAAGGAAGAAAATATGCCTACCAGTGGGTGACACGATATCGTGTGTCTTATTCCTACGATGGGATATTCTTCAAAGACTACACGGAAGTAGCCTCTAATCCAAAGGTACTTTAGCATTAATATAAAAATAATCCAACCTTTCATCGGTTACCACCAATGCTGCGAAGATCTAGTGGTCGTTCTCGGAAGGTGGTCGCATGCGAGAATCGAACCGGGGGTCGGTTTTTTTTCTTTTTATTTCAAGAAGAGATCCATTCACATCTAACGTGAGGCACGAAATTTTTGCAGGGGGTTTATTTTTGCAGATTAGCAATTTTTTGTGTTTTGCGGGAACTTGTTTTTCCGATTAGGACAGATTGGTTTTGCTTAGAATTAATTTTTGCGATTTTCAGAAAGTACCCATGTACCCAGCATTGATTATATTTTCGTTTTTATTGAGTACGTTCAAGCAGTAAACCAGTATTTAGTTGTTTCTGAGTGAAAGAGGCAAGTTGTGATTGCCATGACAGACATGATTTCGTAGTACTGTATTTTTGAGTCGTGAATTTAAGTTGGGGAATATTTACTCTGGAGATAATTTTTGCGGAAAAAGTATGTGCGATAATTTTTATTTGCGGGAACTTATTTTTGTGGATCGCTGGAAAAACCACAAAAATCGCAAAAATAAGAACCCGCAAAAATTTCTTGCCACACGGTATTTTAAGAGAGGAAGAACGTCTACTTTTAAAAATTTCAAAGCATGGAATTCATAGCATGTATTTTCTAAGTTAGGGTATGCATAGTTCCATGATGTACTAAAATTTGCCCACGTACTGTTATTAATTAGTGAAGTGCATACATGCGAACACGGTTATCAAACTATGCATCAAGAAAAGAGAACATTTAAAACCGTCGCCACAAAAAGTGGTCGTTTAAAGTGAATGGGACATCCTTATTCTGGGGAGAGGGGAAAGTCTAGTAAATTAATAACTATAATGTATAGTTTTATGTCAAAAAGTCGTTGAACCTAAAAAAAGTGTTTTTTGAACTTTTTGTTTTGAAATTGAAGGTCTTTTCCGGCAACTCGGACAGAAATGGAATTGTCACTCATGAGTTGACGAATCCTATCATTTGCCGCTACATTCGAATCCTTCCTACTGCATATTACGCCTGGGTGTCGCTTAGGGCTGAATTCTACGGCTGCAAAACAGGTACGTAGGTACCCGGGGTCAGTCAGTGAAGTATATCACTGAAAGTAACTCCGACTCTCCTACTTAATTACGCGTTAGTTTCGTGCACGCCGTTCAAAGGTCACTTCCTCCGTGCACAGGGAACCCATCTGGGCGCCCGTAGCCCAGCTGTAAACACAGAAGGGAAGTTGTATTTTTCAGTAAGTGGTTGGAATGAAGTTGACAGGGTTTTGGGTCGTGTAAGTTGACATGAATAATAGTCGAACCCAGGTATGCGCCCTTAAGTCTTGCACGAGCTTGCAAAGTAATGCGCGACGTCAAGAGACCAGGGCTCCGTAAGTTTAACCCAAGATGAAGCCAGATTTTAAGCATAGTTTCCTTGTCTACGAACTTGTAACTCAAGCTAACAAAATACTGATGAGTTCTCGCTCTGAGATACGGTTATGATAACTCAAAATGTTTCTCCTAGCATGCACAGGAAGGTAAATACTTGGTTAGCGCAAATTGGCCTTTCAGGAACCGGGCCCAAGATTGTACTTTCCAGCTAGATAGATAGATAGATAAGCTAGATATGTCTGTTAAGTTTTAACTGAGCCAAGAACACACTTAGTTGGTTGCTACAGTACTATAAGAGACGCTCGAATGGACATTAAGTTCAGAAAATCAAATGGTTAGTCAAGGTTTTGCCTTAACCAGTGGTCAATTAAATAAAACTTTTACATGGTGTAATCTACCGGTGTAGCTGTTGTTTTCAGACTCTAAAACAATGGCTGTAATTGTGAAATACACTTTAAAAGTTTTATTAAATTGATCCCAGTGTAAGTTCAAAGTTGTGTACCATCCTGATCACGGCCTACAGCCAAACCTGTATGAAGCTGTCACCATTGGGGAAAAGCTCTCGGGCCATTTAAAACAGGTTTGACAAACCTAAGAAATATTCAAGAACATGGATATGGTGAAAGAGCCAAATACCGTAAAATTCCGAAAATAAGCCCCGGGGCTTATATTTTTCAAAGGCCCTTTTTGAGGGGCTTATCTGCGGAGGGAAATTTGCGTTTCAAAATCGATGGGGCTAGCCTTATAAATGGAAGGAAATTTACCGTTTTTGCCTCGTTTTACTTGTGTATTTGAGGGCAATTTTCAAGTACAAGCCCCCCGGGGGCCTTATATTTCGAGGGGCGATTAAGGGGCCGACCATCTGAGGGGTGGGTGATTTTGAAAAAAATTTCCTGCAAGCGCTCGTCGGAAGAAAAAAATTGCATGCAGCACAAATGTAATAAAGAGCTTAAGGGAAAAAAAAGGGAAAAAAATATCCTGCCCACCATATTGCTAGAAAAAAAATTCTTGATGACCAGAAATCACCCACCCCCACCCTCAAGAGTTAAATGGTCGGCCCCTTAACGGAGGGCTTTTTGCGTTACGAGTTTGTGGGGCTTATACATGAAGGGGCTTATTTTCAGAATTTTACGGTATCTATCCCCTGTAAGATCGAGCTCGTCTTGTCAAAATGACCCGTTTTGCTAGAAAATAGAAAAGAACTCGTAAGGAAAAGGTGACCGCGACCGTTTAATAGAGGGTGACCGCTAAATACAGGTTCGCTTAATTACAGTAGAGGTTTTTAGTGCATATCGTTTTGTTATCTAGTTGCTATTCATGTAACCGCTTTCCTGTTGTAGGTTTTCCCATCCCAGAGGTACCAACTTGCAGGCATCCGCTGGGGATGGAAAGTGGCCAAGTCCCGAATTCCGCAATAACTGCTTCCACCAAACTGTCTTCAGCATTTGGTCCTGAGAATGCTAGACTTCATTACCAGGGTGAAGCTGGGCGAGTTGGGGCCTGGATACCCTTACATCAAGACCACAGGCAATGGCTTCAGGTGGACTTCGGATCTGTGACACAAATCACGGGTATATCAACTCAAGGTTATTACAATGCCGATCACTGGGTTAAGAGCTATACCCTGCAATACAGTGACAATGGTTACAGTTTCAAGCCATATCAGCAAAGCGGGCATACCAAGGTACTGACTGGTTTTTTAGGTAGCATGTAATTGTGTTCGACGCTAGGAGAACGCAACCTAAACTTAACGCACGAGAAGGCCCAGTGAATAAATCTCACCTATTTTAAAGGAGATTTCCAAGCTGCAAGTAAAAGCTCCAGTTAATCTAAGTATCATGTTACGATAGTGTCTTAAATTTCCCGACGTCAATTCTTGCTGAATATTTTGCGTTATTTTTTCACATGTCGTCATTCATTCACATTTTGGACGACATCGTCCTTCATTGTTCAAAGCGCATATACGTCGGCATTGCACACATGTACTTGACATAACTTAAAAATTAGCTTCATGTTGCAGCTAAATTTGCTAACCCTTGAATAGTGAGAAAGTGAAATAGCTAAGCGAACCAGGTTTTGAATGCGGTCGAACAGTGTACATTGTATACTAAGTTACACTCCCTTACAACCATGAATTTTCTTTTTAAGACCTTTGATGGAAATGTGGATCGAATGAACGTTGTCAGTCATGTACTGAACCCGCCTATCAACGCAAGTTATATAAGGGTCATCCCTGAGTCCTATTATCTTTACGAAGCACTGCGGTTAGAGTTTTACGGCTGCAAAACAAGTAAGATATTTTAAAGCTGATTGTTTACTCTTGGGAGATTATGAGACCTCTATTTTCGATCGAGCATCGAACGTACTTGTTCGATGCTCATATATGCTGCCCCAGTCATGGTCCCTACCGGACCTCTGCACTCTCCCCAGATTTCGATCGCCAAGTAGAATCAAGTCAAGAAGGTGGCTTTTGATACTAAGCTCTTGATGTTAGCCATCACGTACACAAATAAAGAGCGCGAACAGTCTTAAGGGATAATTGTTGCGGTGAATCAAAGTTGTTGTTTTTCTCTTTAAAAGCATCCCGCGATTTTCAGACTATTGCTTCTGAAATCGCTTTCTCTTAAGCCAATGGAGGTTACTCGCAATTATGATGGGGGCTGGGGGGAGTTTAAGGAATTATATGCTACCACCACACTAATAAACTTCTTATTATTTTCTGTAGAATGAGGTCCTATGGGCGCCATGAACAAGGATCTGTGGGATTTGAGCTAACTTTAGGAAAGATGTGATTTTGGAAATTGCAGCAACAAAACTAGGATAAATATAATAAAGGGGCAAAGCTTGGTAAAACATTATTTAAAGTAGAACAAAACCGTGGATGTGATATTGGTTTAGTATGGTAGTAACCATGCAATGCAATGCCATGTCTATATCATGGAAGCTGTGATATTAATACAAGTATAAAGGGTCATGATTTATAAGGGGGGTATTTCTAATTTCAGAGTTAGAAATAAAAGAGTATTTACAGCCGTATGTTTCGACTCAACTGCCTCAAGTTCTCTTGATACGTATGTGTTAGGCGGAACCGGGGGATGGGTTGAGGGATACTTCCTTATTCATGCTGGGGCGTACCGCCGCTCTAACAAACAAAACCAGTACAGCTGATATATGCTGCTATGATAACTGGACTGGCTTTTCGGTCAAGAATGACATTTAGCCCTTTTGTGTCAAATGCTTATCAAGAGGCATCATTTCATTACCTAACAAGAATCTCCGAAAGGCGATTTTTAACTGGGCTGCAAAGGGGCTATTTTTTCTGAGGGGAGGGGGCGGCTATACACTCAGGCTACCATAAAACCTTGTCGGCAACCATTGCATGCAACAGAATCTCATGTGAGACTGAAACATAAACTCATTCAAAACATTGTACCCTTTTGAAAGACTTTCGTAACCAAAAAAAGAGTACCATTTTTAAGTGGGGGCTGTATAATAACTTTTAAATTCCACCATTATGAATCAAAATAAACAAGTTAGCCATTAATTCTAAACAGGAAACAATTTGCATTATTTCCACGCACTCCTCCCCCAATCCCTCTGTGCCCCAAAATATAGCGTGACAGTATAACGTGACTAATTTGACGTAACCGGAAATTCCAAAAATTGTTGTCCTTCTACGAGCATAAAATGCGACAGACTAAGCTGATTTACACTAGACAGAAATATTGTATTGTATGAAAACCAGAAGTATACTAAAACAGATAGTTAACTGCCCATTGATCCCGCCTGATCCAGGGGCCTCACTGACTGCACGGAGACTTTACTGCGCTTTTCACAAACATGCGAACTCTAAAGTTCAAAAGCCACCTTCACAATTGTGTTTATCGCTGCCGTCAATCATAATTACGATCACAAGCAACGAACCTTGAAACAGAGGGCGCTTTCCATTTAGTCAAAATTTCCGGAATTGCCGGTTTCGGCGGTAAATGGAACACGTTTCGTCGGTTCGTCCCACTGGAAAATTCCCAGAAAAAGTGGAAAATCTAAAAAGGTGGTCCCGTTTTCCAGGTTGGAATTTCTGAACGGAATGTCGTGTTTCTCGTAGTTTGTACCAGTTCCAGGTCCACGGTCGGGCACCGCGCCACGTACCGGGGTTTACGACCAAATGGAACAACTTTTTACCAATCGGAAATTCAACTTTTGCTACCACCGAAATTTCCGGGTTTTTTTCGTAAATGGAAAGCGCCCAGAGAAACACACAAAACGGATCGAAATCCACAAATCACAAACCATGACCTTTTGAACCCGTGAAGTAAAGTTTTGTTTCCTAAGAGGTCCGTTAAGATGATTGACAGCAGCGAAAAACGCAATCGTCGGTTGGTTTCTGAACTCCAGAATTCGCATTTGCGCATTTGCATTCGCATTCCCTAATTTGCGGTCCACAGTCTACATGAAAAAGCACTATTTTTTCCACAAGATGAAAAGTATTCAGTTTTAAGATTTTCCTCACGGTATTTTTCTCTAACTTAGAGGAATAAAATCCTTTGCATTTTGAGACCTAAAAAAGTTTAAAGATTTCTCGCTCGCATGTTGCGTTCACCAGCACGCACTTCAAACAATGTAAAAAGATGAAACGATCGATAACATATTTTCTACCTGATACCGATGTGAGTTAAAAATTCGCTCCAGTTCTGTTTGTCTCACCCATGACTAACTTTTCTTCATGGAAACTATGCCGCTTTATAACTCGTCCGAGGTTTTTGTGCCAGCTAAACAATATGGAAACACTATTCACAGTGACTCCTTGGATATTAAAAAGACCGAACGTGACGCACTATTATGCATGCCTTTGTTTACTTCTGATCACATCTTCAAGCGAAGTCTCTCTTTTCAAGCGATTCATCTCAATGCACAATAATTGACCCTTATATTAGTTAAAATCCTATGGTTCATTTAAATTAATGCTGTTTTCGCCCCTCACATTGCCTGTGTTCGTTCGTATTCAAAACACCTTTACGAAAATAAAGGTCGTATAAGTCATGTGTGATATGTTTCGAGATAAATGGATTATACGCTTTTTTAAGTTTCCATTTTGCGGTGACTTCAGTTTACATCTCCATAAAATAGTAAAAGAAATATCAAGAAACATCACGAGAGCTGAACATTTTCAAAGGCATGTTTTTGAACTCGCTAATCCTGACATCAATATAGCGTGCTTGCTGAATGGGCGAAAACACAGAGTTGTCATCACAAGATCTTGTACGAATTTAATGACAAAAGCTTAGCAAGATACAGATTCAAACAAAAGCAAACCCCCTGAAACCTCGACCTGGGCTACACTTGTATGCTCTACTCAGTCACTAAACCTTGTCAGTAATAGCTCCTATTTTCCTCAAGTCGCTCTCTGTGAAGCTCCCGTATGGGATGTCCCGGAGAAGCGTTAAAATTCTCAGAGTTCCTATTTTTGTCCGTGTCTTCTTTATCCTCAGTATCCGAAATTTAGATCTCCAAAGTGGCTTGTGTTGCATTAAATAGAAGGAAATATTTAAAGGAAAAGGCAGTCTTCTAACATGGCAAAGTTGTCACGTCCCTCGCTTATGGACGTGCCTCACATCAGGATTATTCATCTGCCATTCATCGGCAACTGAGTTGTTCGCTTCACTGACTATGACGGCTTACAATCAAGTCTTCAGCCATAGTGTCGTCAACTGGTGAAATACTTTGCTCATAAATTGTGCTTCTTAATTGCTCATGTACTACATCGATCGATAGTTCACGAAGCAGCCACGGCGTTCCAAACCTGACGCTCACAGTCATCTTTTCAGTCTTTTAGTGTGAACCTACCGTGAACGGCGTGTCGGTTTGAATGCAACGCGAGCATTTCTCTGAGTTTCCCAGCGCCAACATCATCTAACTGACTTAAACTCGAACAATAAAAAAATTATAGAGTTACTCCCATGGTCAAATAGCCTCGAACAACGGAAATAGCCTTCTTCAGGTTCGCAACGCCTTGTGGGTTTTTCAGGGGGAGCGCAGACAAGGTACAAAAAGTATCCGTGCAAGGGTTCATGCAAGAGAAAACCCTATGAAACCATTTGTGAGAACATCGTTTCTACGTACCAGACCCTCGTGTTTTCCCTCCCCCGGATGACCACTTTGTGACACCGACGACCGAAAACCCATTTTATGACTGGGCTTGCCGGGCAGCCCAGTAATGAACTATAACGCTCCTACAGCGGCGGTCAGTTTCGCTTGCTTGGAGATTAGATCGAGAAATGAGGAGGCGATCAATTCTACACGAAACTGGATTTACTCACTAAAGGTTTTTCACTTCCTACTTTATCGTCGTCAGTACTTTTTATTTGTTTCTGAATTGATTCAGTACGCGTGTTAGCGACGACCGGAAATACGTCTGCGGTCGCAGGCTTTACGCGTGGATAAATACACGAAAAATTCAAAGGCCTCGGTTCCAGAGAAATTACAACATTGCCAGAGATCAAAGAAGTGATTTACATGGCATTTCAATCATCGCCGAAAATAAACCGCATGCTAATCACAAGACCTATATGCATACAATGAAAGTTTACAACTGACCCAACCATCGCAGTTTTGCTAAGGTGCTCTTAATTTTTTTTTTTTTCGACCACTCAGTAATGTTCATTTGTTCCAAAGTAATCAAACGCTTTGAAGCGATGGAATTCGTGGACCGACACGTTTCGGAAAAGCTCTAGATTTAATCTTTCCTATGCTTTCTTCGCAAAACATGGGTAGCTTCGATCACGCAACGATTTTTTGTCCCAGTTTCCACGGTCTGCGCACGGAGACCGCCATGTAAATGCCGCGTCAAGTAAAAGCTAAGAAATTCAAGCCTACTGTATTACAAAACGAAGTGTCCTTACGAAGTGAAAATTGCGTAAATATTAGTTTTAAGCTTCCCTAGCACTTCATCAAGGATCGATAATTGTTTGATGACGTCATGTGAAAACCAGCATTGTATACGCCATAGTAGATTGTATACAACGGCTGCAGAGTGATGAAACTAGCATATTTACCGTTTGACCTGCGTGACAGCTAAACATTAATAGAACAATTCGCTGTGCTTTACCGACAAAAATTCATGTTTCGCTGACTCTACAAAGTAAACCTCAAAAAATCCCAAATCGATGTTCTTCAGTTCGGTAGTCTCCTTCACAGCTGTGTTTTATGGAAGTTTCGACAAAAGTCTTTTCGGGCAGTGTGGAGTCTACGACGCAAGCTAATATTTATACCAATTTTATAAAAACGAATGCTTTCCGTTACTTGCAACTAACGTAAATCACTCTGAGCGACCAATTCTCATCCTCGTGCTTGAAAGCTGTAAAATTAAACCCTGGACTTGTGCATAAATACATTTTTGAGTAGCTAAGCTAAGATCAATTCACCACCAGCAATTAGTATATACACACTCGGTGATCTTGGTGATTTAAGCAATCTAATTGGTTCGCTATCTCGGACAATTCAATAATATTCACCTCTTAGCGAGTAGATAATTTCTTTCTTTCTTTAGAGAACGATCTTTTAAAAGTCAACAAAATCCTAGGGTTGACTTTTTTAAGGCAAGAAAATACTTGGAAGGATACAAAACGGCGTTTTTCCATTTCCTGTCGCCGAGTTTTGTGCTAGACGGATTGTTTATACAACTACCGTTTATTCGCGTAGAAAAAGCCGTTTCGTGAACTCAGCGTTTCGGCCTAACAAGAAAATTTAGCCCAAAATCGAAGTTTATTTATGAAAAACAAATTTGAAGGCAAATGTTTGCAAAAAATTCTACCTTTCAAGTAAACAGGACAAAGAATGGTACAGGAAGACGACGCCTTATCTCGAGCAACCGAGCCGCCATTTTTGTCAGCACTTCATGCGAAGAACGACACAACAAACCCTTTTGACTCTAAACTTGGCGTATCGACACAAAACAACAAAGCTCTACTTTTCTTCTTGGGAAAAGAAACAATTTAAACTTTTAACGGTTCCATTTAAGCCATGTGACGTTGTTGTTTGCGACGTGATAAACTTGTGAATTACCAAGATTTTTAAACTTTCGCGTGATTTGATCCGTCAATCAAATCGTACTTTTTAATGGTTTCCTCTCTGATTTTGTTGAGATCACTTCGTGTGTATATACTAAAACAATTATTCTTTTCAATCTCGGTGAATAGTGGCTTTAGGAATATTTACCTCGCTGCTTCGCGCCTTGGTAAATATATTCACCCACTATTCACCTCGATTTCAAAGATAATAAGTTATACCAGATGGGTAATTTTTTATTTTCAAAGAAGATCCCTTTGTGCGCAGCTAGTTATTTAAAACGTTCCTGAAAACTGAATGGAAATACACAACGCATGCGTCATCAACCCAATAGTCCATTTAAGAGTTCGCTCTGACCGCTGAATAAAAGAAGTGAAGACACATTTTTTACAGCCTTAGCCTCAATCTGAAGTAATATATTCACAAATTCCAACCGGAAAAAGACCTGTTTATTACTCTGTTTATTGTGTATATTCAAATTTCAAACACTTACTTGCCAGAATTTCTGAATATTTTACTTTACGTCGAGGCTAACCCTGTATATGAATGTGTCGTCAATGTATAGCAGATGGGCATTTTTTTATTTTTAAATTATTACGTCAGATATGGATAAATTCATATTCTTAAACACTAACCGCATAATTTTGTTCAAAGAGGATCCCTTTGTGCGCAGCTTGATATTTCAAACGTTCCTTGAAATTCAATTTTTTTAAACTGAATGCAAATAAACAACGCATGCGTCATCAACCCAATTGGTCGATCGCTAATATTTAAACAATGTTTTACGTAGACCGTATTTAGGAAGATCTGTAAACCTCCACATATCCGTTTTAGTGTTTAGAGTTAAAACTGTTTTTATTTTCCTCATATGGGCTGAACTTCGTGAATCGCCCCAATGTGTTTTGTTTCAGGTTATTTTTGCAAATGGTCCTTTACTGGAAAACGTCTTGACATTTCCCACACTCTCCTGTTAATGTCTTGTCTTTACGTTTCCTGGACGATTTTGACCGGTCTACCCAGGAAAACAGAGTGGGTTCTAGAACAGTGGCAAGAAATCAAGTCTAGAGGCCGTTTTTATTTGCAAACTTTACTCACTTCAATTCCCCGCCTTATAAACAAATCAATAAAAATCGTAAAATTAAACCTCACCGTATTGTATTACAGTGTTGTAATTAGAATACAAATTTTCTTACCGCAGAAAAGAAAACAACAATTTCCTTTTAAGGCCAAGCATGGATTTTCTCCCCCTCTGACCCTAAACTTTTCAACAAACAACAAGAAGTCAAACAGGAAGACGCAAGCGAAATATCCCTTGGTTATTAATTAGCTTTTCGGGAATGCACATGCTTTGTATTTTAAAGCTTGTCACGAAAACTTAACTCGTGTAATGGAAGAAATATAATTGTATCTGGTTGTATCAAATTTTACAAACAAAAAAGTTAACTGGCATGACAAAGACAGCCATCTACTTTGAGGCTCACGGCTAAGTTCGTGACCTTTTTTGACTTCCGCCCTAATTGGGTTTATCATAGTGGCAACGTTGCCCCCTCCCTCCCTCCCCCATCCACAATGCTGTCGTACGATCAATATAACAAGAACCCCAAAACCATAAATACATTGGTCAAAATTTTATAATAACAAAAAGAGCAACGAATTGCAACGTCTTAGAGGCAGTCGTGTTCCACCCAAAAAAGAAAAAAGAATTATCTTTAGAGGATGTTTCCTTTCTTCTGCCTGCAACAAATATTTCTTGTGCATTCAGTAATGCCTTGGCAACTCGAGACAGGAAAATATAATGATTTAAAACCTCCTTGGGCAGTCACTATAAAAAGCGGCATCTTACGAGCCGTAGTACTTCACATCAAGCAGCAAGGTTCAGCGTTGTTCTGGAGTCGCTATGAAGACTACTGTGGCGATTATATTTCTTCTGCAAGTATCATTAAGATTTGGTAAGTTTCTTTCATGAGAGTATTGCATATTTCTTTAAATGTTCTTCGGGATAATTCAAGAAGTACGTTGATCGGTTTTAATGCATGAGTCGAGTAGATTGCATTTTCAGCCATTTGAAATTCAGCGTTTTCTAATAACATAGTATAATGGACCAAGGTTCATGGTAGTTATTTGGGATTTACAAGATTTAGAAAACCGTGCCAAAAGAAATGTCTTGCCGAGTAATTTTTAGCATGTTCTTTTTCGTGATACGCTGTCAAACAGACATCGCAAACTTATGAGCGTATTATAAACGTAAAAGGCTGTATGGTAGAAATTTTTTCAAACAAATCCACGACGGTCGAGATACCTTGCACGCGAGAGGATCCGAAGCTATCCTCCCCTCTTTGATGAGAATGAGCCTATTACAGACCAATGTCGTTCCCCAGGGTTGGAAAGAGTGGGAGAGAACCCTGAGAACGGGGTTGGTTCCAGGCCGTCAATCGATAGATAAGTGCGACTAAGGAAGACTACGACCGACGAAGAAAGTTGCCATTAAATGAAAGCCTGAGTCATCCAGGTGTTCGACGAGGAAATGCGAAACAGCTAGCAGATATCGCCTACTTCTTACATCTCTTGTATGATTAAAGCCTGAAAGAATGTCCACTATAATCGCCCTGATTTCTTTTAAAAGGTTTTTCTGAAACGGCTTGTGATCAACCGCTTGGAATGCAGAATGGTGCCATTCCGGACTCCGCCTTGACTGCTTCCAGTAAGGCAGGCGTTGCTCATAGCCCTAAAAGAGGAAGACTAAATTATGCGACACCACCTGCTGCTTGGTCGTCTGGAGGTGCTCATTATCTAAAAAACAGCTGGTTTCAAGTTGACTTTGGAAGTTGGACTAAAGTGACGAGGATTGCAACCCAAGGAAGAAAGTATGCCTATGAGTGGGTGACACGATATCGTGTGTCTTATTCCTACGATGGGATATTCTTCAAAGACTACACGGAAGGAGCCTCTTATCCAAAGGTGCTTTAGCATAAATATGAAAATAATCGAACCTTCCATCGGTGACCACTAGTGCTGCGAAGATCTAGTGGTCGCTCTCAGGAGGTGGTCGCATGCGAGAATCGTACCAAAGGGGTCTCTTTTTTTTTTCTTTTTATTTCAAGAAGAGGTCCGTACACAACTACGTGACCGTGTGGCACGAAATTTTTGCGGGTTTTTTTTTTGCGGATTGGCAATTTTTTGTGTTTTGCGGGAACTTATTTTTCCGATTAGGACAGATTGGTTTTGCTTGGAATTAATTTTTGCTATTTTTAGAAAGTACCCAGTACCCAGCATTGATTATATTTTCGTATTTATTGAGTACTAAACGTGCAATAGAAATACATATTTTCAAGTAATAAACCAGTATTTCGTTGTTTCTGAATGAAAGAGACAAGTTGTGATTGAACAGACACGATTTCGTAGTACTATATTTTTGTGTCGTGAATTTAAGCTGGAGAATATTTACTCTGGAATTAATTTTTACGGGAAAAGTATGTGCGATAATTTTTATTTGCGGGAACTTATTTTTGCAGATCGCTGGAAAAACCGCAAAAATCGGAAAAATTAGAACCCGCAAAAATTGCTTGCCACACGGTACTTCAAGAGAGAAAGAATGTCAACTTTTAAAAATTTCAAAGAATTTATTGCACGTATTTTCTAAGTTAGGATATGCATAGTTCCATGTTGTACTAAAATTCGTCCACGTACTGTTATTAGTGAAGTGCATACATGCGAACACGGTTATCAAACTATGCATCAAGAAAAGCGAAAATTAAAAACCGTCGCCACAAAAAGTGGTCGTTTAAAGTGAATGGGACATCCTTAAGGACGGACCATTAGAGAACTTATGGTGGGGGGGAGGGGGGCCGGGTTGGGCGAAGTACAAAAAAAATATATTCGCGCAAGGGAAAATTAAATGAAAAAAATTCATGCACGCCAATCAACCCTAAAAAAAATATTCATGCTATGGCCTAAAAAAAATTCATACAAGGAATTTTGTGACGAAAAAAAATTCCCGCAGCTCGAAAACTCCCCTCTCCCCCCATAACTTTTCTAATGGTTCGTCCCTTAATCTGGGGAGAGGGGAAAGTCAAGCAATTTTCATAACTATGATGTATAGTTGTACATCAAAAAGTCGGTGAACCTAAAAAAGGTGTTTTTTAAACTTTTTGTTTTGAAATTGAAGGTCTTTTCCGGCAACTCGGACAGAAATGGAATTGTCACTCATGAGTTGACTAATCCTATCATTTGCCGCTACATTCGAATCCTTCCTACTGCATATCACGCCTGGGTGTCGCTTAGGGCTGAATTCTATGGCTGCAAAACAGGTACGTAGGTACCCGGTATCAGTCAGTGAAGTATTTCACTGAAAATAACTCCGACTCTCCTCCTTATTTACGGGTTAGTTGCGTGCACGCCGTTCGAGGGTCACTTCCTCAGTGCACAGGGAACCCATCTGGTCACCTGTAGGCCAGCTGTAAACACAGGTGGGAAGTTCTATTTTTCAGTAAGTGGTTGGAATGAAGTTGATAGGATTTTAGGTCGTGTAAGTTGACATGAATAATAGTCGTAACCAGCTCTGCGCCCTGACGTCATGAACGAACTTGCAAAGCAATGTGCGACAACAATGGACCAAGTCCTGTTCCTCGAAAGATAGTGAAGTTTAAATCAAGATTAAGCCAAATTTTAAGCACGGTTTTCTTGTGTATGAACATGTAACTCAGTCTAACCAAATACTGTTCAGTCCTTACTCTGAGATACAGTTATGTTAGCACAAAATGTTTTTCTAAGCAAATTGCACAGGAAGTAAATACCAAAAGTGGAGCAAAATTTGATCCTGGGTTTTGGCTAATCAGCCTTTCAGGAATCAGGCCTAGGGTTGTACTTTCCATCAAAAACTGGGTATGACTGTTAAGTTTTAACTGAACCAATAATACACTTGGCTGGTTGCCACAGTACTATAAGAGACACTCGAATGCATGGACATTAAGTTCAGGAAAATTAAATGGTTAGTCTAGTTTTTTGCCTTAACCAGGGGTCAATTTAATGAAACTTTTACATGGTGTAATCTACAAGTGTAGCTTTTGTTTTCAGACTCTAAAACAATACGGCTAAAATTGTAAAATACATTTCAAAAGTTTTATTAAATTGACCCCAGCGTAACTTCAAAGTTGTGTAGATCAAGGCTTACAGCCAAACCTACATTAAGCTGTCACCATTGGGTAAAAGCTCTCGGGCCATTTAAAACAGGTTTGACAAACCTAGGAACATTCAAAAACAAGAATATAGTGAAAGAGCGAAATATCTATACCCTGCAAGATTGAGCTCAAAATGACCGTTTGCTAGAAAATAGAAAAGAACTCGTAAGGAAAAGGTGACCGCGACCGTTTAATAGAGGGTGACCGCTAAATACAGGTTCGCTTACAGTAGAAGGTTTACTGTATATCGTTTTGTTATCTAGTTGCTATTCATGTAACCGTCCTGTTGTAGGTTTTCCCATCCCAGAGCTACCAACTTGCAGGCATCCGCTGGGGATGGAAAGTGGCCACATCCCGAATTCGGCGATAACGGCTTCCTCCAAACTGTCAATAGTATATGGTCCTGAGAATGCTAGACTTCATTACCAGGGTGAAGCTGGGCGAGTTGGGGCCTGGATACCCTTACATCAAGACCACAACCAATGGCTTCAGGTGGACTTCGGATCTGTGACACAAATCACGGGAATATCAACTCAAGGTTATTACAATGCCGATCACTGGGTTAAGAGCTATACCCTGCAATATAGTGACAATGGGTATAGTTTCAAGCCATATCAGCAAAACGGGCATACCAAGGTACTGACTGGTTTTGAGGTAACATTTAATTGCTTTCGACGTTAGGAGAACGCAACCTAAACTCAACGCACGAGAAGCCTGGGCCCTGTGAATAAGTCTCACCTATTTTAAAGGAGATTTCTAAGCTGCAAGTAAAAGCCCCAGTCAGTCTAAGTGTCATGTTACGATAGTGTCTTAAATTTTCCGAGGACAATTCTTGCTGAAAATTTTGCGTTATTTTTTCACATGTGGTCATTCATTCACATTTTGGCCGACATCGTGCTTCATTGTTCAAAGCGCATATGCGTCGGCATTGCACTGACATGTACTTGATTTAACTTAAAAATTTGCTTCATGTTGCAACTAAATTTGCTCACCCTTGAATATTGAAAAAGTGAAATAGCGAACCAGGTTTTGAGTGAGGTCGAATAGCGTACATAGTATACGAAGATACACTCCCTAACAACCATGAACTTTCTTTTTAAGACCTTTGATGGAAATGTGGATCGAATGAACGTTGTCAGTCATGTACTGAACCCGCCTATCAACGCGAGATATATAAGGGTCATCCCTGAGTCCTATTATCTTTACGAAGCACTGCGGTTAGAGTTTTACGGATGCAAAACAAGTAAGATACTTTTAGGTTGATTGTTTACTCTTAAGAGATTATGAGACCTCTATTTTCGATCGAGCATTGAACGTACCGATGTTCATATATGCTGCCCCAATCATGGTCCCCAACGGACATCTCCACTCTCCCCAGACTTTAATCGCCAACTGAAGTAGAATCAAGAAGGTAGCGTTTGATACTAAGCGCTTGATGGTAGCTATCAATCGGTTTCTAATAGCCCCCCCAAAAAAAAAAAAGGAAATTTTGGACTAATAATTAACTATTCTCAGAACGAGAATTGACTTAGCCATATGAAACCGGAATCGTTGCATGCTAACTTACAGGATGATTTAAAGATAACCAGTTGAATAACAGTAATAAAAGACATTTATTTAGTTAGTTACTTTTATAATTTATTACCTATATTTATACAGGATTTGTCTCTTCAGCAGGGCTGATATCAACATGGGTTCTGATAAACTAAAATTAAATACATGAGAATATCACCTATACGAGAAGGCAGATACTTGAAAAATGTACTACACAGCAAAATTACAGAATAACAGACCTCAGCATCTCTTTAAATTTTGGCAAAGACTTCCACTGCTTTGCTGAGTCCGGAAGCCCATTGTAGGTCCTTGCTCCCCTATACATAATTGATTTTTTCCTAAATCCAGTTCTCACTGCTGGAAGTACAACATTAAGTTCACTACTTATTTTATTTTCTTAAGCCAATGGAGGTTACTCGCAATGGAGCTCTTGGAGCCAGTGTAGTTCAAGTTGTGGAATTGGTGAACATTCTCGAACGCGCACCTGCACTAATCCTCCCCCAGGTCCCGGTGGGGCGGACTGCTCAGGCCTGGGTCCAAACAAAGATACTCAGCAGTGCAGCAACAACAATTGCCCAGGTAAATAAGTTTGAAATATTAAACAAAGAATGAATGGTACCGCAATCATGATCGTGAAGGATCTTCTTTCACTGAATACCGTCAGACAAAAGGATGAAAAACCGCATACCACGGGGCTACATGATACCGCAATACTACACACTAAAATTAAAATTACCGACATATCTCTCGAAAGAAAACTCAATACCGCAATACCGTAAACCTCAATGTCCCCCTTAACAACTGACAATTAAGAAATTAGGAATCTATAGACCCTTTTTCCCCATTTTTATGAACAAGGAACAAGCTTGAGCGGTGGTCGACAAAATACAGTGACCTCTATAAGAATCCCCCGTCCCGTGTCGAGTACCTCTCATTGTGCAAGCCCATGTATTAAAATGCAGGATAGGTGAAGGAATAGGATAGCCGATCTATTTCGCATGACATCACCGAGGCCATATTGGTCTTACAAACCAATAAAACAGAGGCTAGGTTGTTGTTGTTGTTTTTGTTGTTCAAACAAATCCTGGGGAGGGTCTACTCTTTTTTTATGTAGATGTTGTTCCAATAAATTTGACCTGCCACCAATCATCACGCGCTTCTGCCGCCCAAAGAAAGCAATAACACTCACCGGGCTAATCCCGCCAGCTACGCAGGCTAAGAAAAAAGATCGCCTTAATTTATTCCGTTACAATTGGAACTTAATAACAAAAACACAATAGGTATATTAAGTTCCGCAAGCAGAATACTGCAATGCTGATCGTACTACGTGGAAATTAACTCTGCAAGACATCAACACGACACCGAAAGAACTCAAAACATAGCGGGATTGAGGCCATAGACAGTTGTTTCGCCCTCTTTGGGGCGAAACAGCTGTCTATGGCTTCGTTCTTTGGCATATTCGTTTGCGGTCCTATGCAGTCCTTTGTGAGCTTTTGTGGTTAATGTTTGTAAAAAAAAAATATTGTACACCGTCAAGGACCTAAAGACATAAGGTGTGCGCAGCACCTAAATTTGTTTTCCTTTGCTGCCTTCCATAACAAGTCTTCATAGCTATACCCTCTATCGACTTTAGTTTGAGATGTTGGGTCATAAAGGAAAATGAGCGTTTTTTTCTTTCATCGCGAACAAAAGAATCATACTGTATCACCTAAACTCTGCAATGAAACTGGGAAATTGTTAGAATGCAAGGCATCCTTCAAGTTTAACCCAAGCTTCAAAACTATTATGTAACATGGAAACGTGGCTGCTAAACTCGCTTTAAAAAGGAAGGCCAAACCATAGGAATATGGTGTCCTCAGTCTTGCAGTCAGATGGTAATTTTTATTATTATTGTTATTATCTTTTCATTTCAGTAAACGGTGGTTACTCAGACTGGGGACCGTACAGCCAGTGTTCAAAAACATGTGGCGGAGGCGAGCAAAAGAGAACAAGGACTTGCACCAATCCCGCTCCGGCTTATGGCGGAAAAGACTGTAGCACTCTTGGAGCCTCGTTTTCTACAAGGAAATGCAATATTGACCCATGCCCTAGTAAGATAAATTATCATTCGATGCAAAATTTTCTCCCTTTTCATGGGCCGAAAGCCCACCACGTGACCTGCAAATAACTGCCAACAAATAATGGTCTGCGCATGCGCAATGTTGTCCAACTGTGTTTGGCTGCAAATAATATTCTGCTCATGCGTAAAGGAAACCACGCGTGATCGTTCTTGAGTAAAAAAAGGCAGATCGCTTCGCTTCCCGAAGATATTCATTAAAAAACAAACTTGGTGATCGAATGATAAAACAATTATTGAACTCGGTTATCGCAAAATATCGTTATTTGCCTCAGCCTTTGGCTTCGGCAAATAACTGATCTGCTCGCCACTGACAAATCACGATATTTTGCGATAACCGAGTTCAATAATTGTTACTTGCTTTTTTACTACGGCTAAATGTATGTCTAGCAGAACCTCGCTAGAGCAACAGGGCCAACAAAATCAAAATAGGGTGTGTCCGACAAATTTAACCATTTATAATGTCTCACCTCGGCAGGGAAAGAATGATCAAATAAATGGGTTAACGGAGAAAGGGAACACACGAATTAGTACTATTTAGCCCTATTAAGAATTCCCAGCTTTCTTTGGAGAGCCCTGTTTTTTTTTTTTATCTGGAAGGTCACTCCAGGGGGAACACTTAAGGGAGGGCGCATACAGAACACCCTGTTCAAGAGGTCACTAAGTAGTAGGCCAAACAAAACCATAAGCCCTAGCTCTTTCCTGGAGCCCCCAAACCCCCCTCACGGCCTCGAGTTAAGTAAGCCCCAACTATTCATAGCCAACTAAAATATCTCTCGTTTCAGTTAATGGTGGTTATTCAGCTTGGGGGCCGTACAGCCAGTGTTCAAAGACATGTGGTGGGGGCGAACAGAAGAGAAGAAGGACTTGCACCGATCCCCCGCCACAACACGGTGGCGATGACTGCAGTCGTTTGGGATCTGCTTTTTCTACCAGAGAATGCAATACCCAAGCATGCCCTAGTGAGTCAATCTCAGACTGCTTCCAATTGCATTGCTTATACTACTACATGAGAAATTTCTGCAATTTGATTGGCTTAGAGCAGTGGTATTTCAGCTTAATTTGAAATACCTGCATGTGAAAATTACAAACCTTTTGCGGGTGGCAGTATAAACAAATAATAGTAGGATTTTTACGTGATATCACTACAAATCATGCTATTACCAATACAAACCTTTATCAGACCGGTATTGTATTTGTTCTTAAGGTTCAAAGAGTTGAGAAGTGTTGTTAGCTAGATCTTCTTAAAGGAAAGTGTTTAAGAATAATTGGTGACACCAAAAAGACACTTTGTTGAGTGCTGTAATGATTCTATTCAGTGCCCAGCCTCCTTCCAATATAAACACTCCCCCCTGCTCCGGTCCCCTCCCCTCTCCCTTGAATGTGTTTCTGTTCATAAGCTCCCCTATTCTAAACAGCAACCTCCTTTTTAATAAGCACCCCAATTCGGTTTCAGTGATGATGAGATGTTTTTTTCTTTAATATTAATAATAATATTATTATTATTATTATTATTATTATTATTATTATTATTATTATGTTAATAAAATAAGCGCCCTGTTTCGAATAACCGCCCTCTATTAACACTGAAATTAGCCCCCCACCCCTACAGTCGCTAAATGGAACAATGGGATATCAAGTTAATTCATTTTTATTGTCTATTAGAAACTTGGAAAGCCGTGGGATGCTATCAGAACACAGGGCGAGCCTTGGCTGATATCTTAAGAGGTGTAAACGGCAAACGCACAGTTTCTAAAAAATTAAATGTATGCAGAAAAACGGCCGATGCGAAAGGAATCACTGTGTTCGGTCTGGACGATAAGCAATGCTGGACTGGCCAAAATGCGGCAGACACTTTCGACAAGTATGGCAATTCAGGGCAGTGTTATACAAACAAGGGAGGAAAAAGTATGGGCTACTTTGCATCAGAATCAATGTCCGTTTACAAAAAGAACGACAAAGGTAAATTTAAGTTATCTATAAAATCCAATTATTTTTGTTCCTTATAAAATACAAAGCTCTAAATGATAGCTTCGCTTTTTTATCGTGTATAGTCAATATTTGGCTAGTCCCTCTACGGCGTTTTCCCAGGCCTTCTCGGTCAATTCACTGCGCTCGGACCACGTGGCCCGAAACGCATTGGCCGCGCGGAATGATGAGGCCTAGGGACTAGGCAAAGTCGATGTGACTTTATCACATGCGACTTTTGTTGCCTTGCTGTTCTTCCTCAGGGGTTAAAGTCGAGTTGTACCCAACAGTGAGAGACAATAATGTACAGTAAACCGTCATTTAGTTTACGATAAAAATCTTCTTTCAGTATCAGGTTTAAAATACTCAACCTACAAAATCTACATTCTGCTATCAAACATTAGATCTAATTCGTCGTTGCGAGCTCATTGACGGTTGAAAAGACTGAAGACGCTTTTAAGAAAAAAAAGGTCACAGGTTACAAAGCGCAAGTCAATGCTCTATTGATAAATAACTGAGATAAGCAGTTTCCCATTAAGGTAAAATTCTGTTTTGGATTGTGATTAGGGCTAGAAGTACACCTTAATTGTTGTTTATTTACCGTAGTACGGTGATCTGTACACTAACTTGACTCGTGACCTGTGACTTGTGACCTGTGACCTGAGTTTTGTTCCTGCCGCTGATTTAAGGTTTTCGGGCGGGTAAATTGACAAGTAGTTGAAAGTCTTTGTCCTTTCTGTCCAAGGTGCGTGGGAAAAGATTGGCTGCTACAGCAATAAATCCCCTACAAATGCGTTACCAGATTCTTTTGGCGACATTAAAAGCGGATCCGATCCAGACGGAAGTTATGACTTCTGCAAAGGGAAAGCTGAATCCCTCGGCTACAAGATTTATGGAGTGGACGATAAGAATTGCTTGTATGGAGACAACGCCGAGATGAATTACAACAAGTATGGTACTTCCAAATTGTGTGTTTTCAGTAAGGCTAAAACAGGCCATGCCACGGGAAAAAGCAGTTATGGGAATATGTTTGTCTATAAGCAAGAGTAATATGGTAAGTGGACGCTTATTGCTAACGAACGTTAATTATCGAGGCAGTATATTATTCAAGTGTAATTAAGCAAAAAACTCCAAAATTATGTCTAGAAGTAAAAATAATCGTAGTCATGGGCAATTTGTTGGTTTATGATTATCCGAGCTAGATTTCGTAAGTCTACAAGGTCTGACATCAGTGACGTCCTTTTGCGTTTTTTTAAGGGTGGATTTCCACTGTCGCGTAATTTTTACGAGGCGATGAATAAAAGGTCGTGCGTAAAATAAAAGTTTGGAACACTTGGATTAGCGACGACAAAAGAAAGGGAAAAAATCAAATTAAATTATTTTTTTTAGTGTGAACAACATCACGCCCGAAATAATTAGGTGCCCCTTTTTCGGATGCGTGCGGGAGAAACGCGAGGATCATAAATTATTAAATCCAGCAGCAACTGCAGAAACCTAGTCGAATTGTAAACTGGAATTTATCCGCATACACTACATTCTTAATATATTGAACTTTCCAGAAAGGGTGGGGAATTAAACTGACTATGAATCTTAAACGGGAAGTAACAGCGTTTAATTTTAAGGGAGGGATTGTGCAGGTCATTTGACAACTCTACAACAATTGTCCATGGCCTATACTCTTAACCCCTCTACGAACTCTGTTCTTATCGACCATAGAAATGACGTCAAAATGTTCAAAACTTTCCTAGTCCCTAGGCCTCATTAATATTTCGCGCGGTCAATGCTTTTTATTGAGTTCCATTTCCGTTGAAGTTTATTGAAAAAAGCGCGCGAGAGAGAAAGCCGGAAAAAATAAATTGTGCCATCATCTCGTCATTTCCATCGCTTTTACACTTATCGATCACTGCTCTCTACCAATCAGCGCGAAAATTGCCCTATTATCAAACAAATGTTGGTTAAGTAGCAAGGATTTCTCGCCCCTGTCACAAGTAGCTCCCATATTGACAAGCCCTCGAAGATTTCCTAATCATGCATAGCATAAGTTATGTATCAAAGTAATCTTCCAGTGATCAGGTGGAATAAGGATCTCGATCCCACAAGAGTCTTCCCAAAACCAACGTTGACAAATGACTTCCAGTTCTGACATGTGGTAAAATATGGAGCTAGGGGAGAGGTTAGTGGGTAGGCATTTTGCCATAATTTTATACTCGTCCAGAAATCCTTAAGAATTATATTATGAAGGGGGGGGGGGAATTTAAAGAAGTATATGCTACCACCACACTACTAAATTAAACTTCTTATCAATTTCTGTAGAACGAGGTCCTATGGGCGCCATGAAAAAGGATGCTGTGGGATTTCAGCTAAAATTAGGAAAGATGTGATTTTGGAAATTGCCGCAACAAAACTAGGATGAACACAATAAAGGGGCAAAGCTTGGTAAAACATTATTTAAAGTAGAACAAAGCCGTGGATGTAATATTAGTTTGGTATGGTAGTAAAGCCCTTGGGAAACTGTTATGTCTGTATCACAGAAGATTAATATAGATATAAAGAGTTATGATTTATAAGGGGGGTATTTCTAATCTTAGTTAGAAATAAAAGAGGATTTGCCGCATGTTTCAAGCAGTTTAATTTCTCTACTCACCGCCACAGATTCTCTTGATACATATGTTTTAGGCGGAACCGAGGGATGGGGTGAGGGATACTTCCTTATTCATGCTGTAACGTACCGTCGCACTAACAAAACAAGACCAATACAGCTGATATATAGCCATGATAACTGGACTGGCTTTCGGTCAAGAATGACATTTAGCCTTTACATGTCAAATGCTTATCATGTGACATCATCCCATTACCTAATGCAAGGCTAAGAACAAACAAGAATCTAGGCTAAACTGGAAATTTGTGGCGTTTTATGTTATACAAAGTAGCCCAACTTATTTTAACAACTTACGACATTAAAAAAAAAAAAAGAAACACATTCGGTCAATCTTTTAAAAGGTTATAAAACTCTCTTTGTGGGGACAAAACTGGATCGATTGATTTATGGGAACAGTTTGAGAGTGAAAATAAGAGAGGAACACGCACGATTTATTCCTCGGATTCCAAAAATGAGCAATCTGCGTGCATTAAGGTGTCCTGGTAAACCACAATGCATATAACTTAAATATACGTATATGTGTTATCTGTAAAAGTATCTGATATCAGTAGCCATACCATCCTTGAATTTGTGCTGAATTCATCAACTTGTTCGGCTAGTTCACCATCTTTAATTCTCAAATGGCAATATATCAGCCGTGACTAACAGCTACACTGCTCTGACTTGTCTCAAAACCTTCAGGAAAGCGGGTAGCTTGTCGGCAATCTGTTCTGGTTCCCAGTTTCCCTCATTGAGGAGGCGATCCCACTCTTCACAGTGAAGGTGTATGTCAGCCTACACAAAAAGTCGAACTTTTCAAAACACTTGGTGGAAAACGAACAAAGCAAATTAAGCGTATAATCTTATTAGATACAGGACAATAACGCTGTGAATTAGTGGGATTAAAACAGAAAAGCGGCCAAGATGAGAATTTTAAAAAGAAAAAAATATATGACAGAACAAAGGAATGAGATTTGAAATAGGTTCGCTATAGTTGAACATTCATAATGATCAACTTTTTGGACCTTAAGTTTAGTCCCTGCATGATTTACAGAGGGTTCACTCCTTTATCTCAACTGTGATTCCTGTAGTACACTCGAATGCCCTAACGAATTGACGAATTGAATTGAACATTTCAAAAACACCATCATCGATCGATAATTTAAAAAAACTGATAAATTCAACATCAAACAGAATTTGATATGGCAGTCTTGGTCGATTATTCCGGCACACTTAGGTCCTGACATCTACGAGTTTTGTTGGTGGTCCTCATAGGTTATAGCTCTTCGCTTTTGTTATTTTTTACCCTAGATTGTCGCTGCAGTTGGTCGTCTCAGTTTTTGGCATGTCATCTTTATAATGACGGTCAGTCGGTTCACCCTTATATACAGAGATCTTTTGAGAGAAAAGCACCAAAACCGTGGTCCCGACAGTGTTTCTTTTGTCACGTCCCCTTCATTTTCTTTAAACTGAGAGTCCAGTGAGTCAAGGACGGCCCAAGGAAATTCATCCAAGATCCACTAACTAGCTAGGGATGTACGGCTAATATTCAGACAGTCGATATCAAGCCTGGTTTTAAGCTTATAGTTTCTCTAATCTTTCAGCCTGGCTTGAGTCAGGTTTGACAATTTACAATAAATAAGGCTGATTTGACTCAAGTAAACCCTGGTTCATTGAACCATGGCTGAACGGGGTTTAACTTGTAGGCTTGAAATTCGATTAACCTGGTCTGAAAAGGCTTTTGGTGCAAGTGATGACACTCTAAGCTCTATTAAAGGAGTCCTGATTTTCAGGGGCGTAGCTTCCTGGAAGCATTGTACACACGTGCTTAACTGAAAAAGTCTCGAGGGTAAGAGAATTACATGATATAAAATAAAATAACAAATGCAATTATCTCAAATAGGAAATAAATTTAAAAAGCGCAATTTTCCTCAACTCATTTGACTCTGGTTGTTTCTTTGAAATATTTTTTTCTAAAACAACAGACGTGGTCGCTTTCCAGAGAAGCGACGCGTGGTTCATTGGTGGGACGATATAGTTTAGAGAAAAAGGCGGGAAAAAGCGCGCAGATAGCGGCAAGCTAGCCTGTGTGTGCCTGTGTATTTTTTTCTGAGGGAGGGGGGACGTCTGTACACAGGCTAGCGGCAAGCTGAATGTATAGAGCATGAAAACGTTGTTGTTGAGGGGAGGGGGAGGCGGGAAGATGTGGAAACGTTTTGCGTACCTCTACAAAAATTCTGGCTACGCCGCTGATTTTGAGAGAGTTGACTAGTCCATTACGAAGCTTATTTACTAAAGATGCAAAACGTAGCTAACCTTTACGGGAATTTCGTCCATGTTGCTAGCGTCAGGCTCATTAGGGCAAACACTTGTTGCTTGATCTTTACAAACAGTCAAGCTAAACTGTTCCCCGTCCATTTCATACTGATAAGTCTTTCGCAGACTACGACGCTTGTAATACAGGTCAAACCCTTCCTGGAGCTCTGAAGCCGGCCTCAGAATCAATTGGCCATCCTCGATCTTCATTCCCATTAGATAGTCTTCTAAGATTTTGTCTTCTTCTTCGTCTTGAGGCGTTTTGGGGGCATAATTAGTGCCTTGTCAAAAAAAAAAAGCAGCAAAACGATTTTAAGAAAATAGGTATTGTGTCTATTTAAATACCCAGATGAATAAAAATAGAAAATACTGCTGAAATGGTCTATGTGACAATGGTGAATTGTCTACTTTTTCTCGCTGTCCCTAGAAACAGTCCAAAGCTTCTAACAGTCCCATAAGTCTTTGCGAAAGTTATCTCGATCCAGTTTCTCTCTCGTTTGTAAAGTCGCGAATGACTCTCTTACATGTTTTAATGGACAAACTACAATCGAGGTCCTTAGAAGGAATCAATATGTCCACTTTCAGTCGGGTTTGAGACCGAGAACAGATGTGAAAACATGGCGTGTCAGAAGTGTCTCCTCGCTCATCAGACAGCACACGCGTTAGGATGTTCTTTACAGTGATAGGTGTCCTGCGTGAAAATGCCATGGCGGATGCTGTTTCGCCTTCTGTTTCCATAAGCCAAGCCTTTTTCAAACAAACAGCAAAGAAAAAACGTATTATTTAGTACGTAGTATTTAAACGAGACACTGCAAGACAGTGAGATCAGCAGTTGTTTCACGAGCATAAGATTTTTTCTGCATGAAAAATGCGGTACTCTAAGAGGAAGATTCTTAAACGTCTCTGGTCGAAACTAAGAGACTCGAAAGAGACCGTATGAGACTCCAAAACATTGTTTGCCAGACAATAACTATATAAACGGGGCTGAACTTTCCCCAGGCGTTCCAGTTTTGTTTCCTCATTTATAGTCTTATAACGAGGAAAGCGGATTAAAGATGCGCGCGGGAATTTTTTACTTTTCCCTCTCTCCTTCTCATTGTTCCCTTCCCCTAACTGAAGTAAAAGTGTCTCGCAACGATTCCTTGACCACTTACAAATAGAGCGTTTTCACATTACGTCACGGCGGCCATATTGATGTTCCAAACAAATGAAACGGCGGCCATGTTGGTGTTCCCAGAAAATCCTCTGGGAGTTTAACTCTTTTCTCATGTAAATGCTTTCTTATGTTCCAATAAATTAGCATGGATGCTGGCCACGTGAGTGAAAACGCTCTATAATGGAGACCACTGGACTCAGATAAAGCGGTGATTGATGTTTGGTCTCCAACTTGTCACCATTGACCAGACCACATGACCAGCGGTAAACGTATTAACATATGGAGCCACCGTATCACTAACCTATTTCCATCAATCGTCTGCTAGATATTAGAAACCATGCAATACCTTAACACGAACATCCCTACAGGAGGGGGTATAAAACGTGAAATCATGTCTAATGTCCTCTTTTGAAGCTTTAGATGGGAGATGCTTTTCAACTCCTTCAACCTCCATGTCCTCAACGCCCTCGATGAAAAGGGGATTCCAAGTTCCGCTAGTTACATTCTCAAGTTTCTCTTGTACTTCTTTCAGCGTAAATGTTTCCTCTAATTCGTCTGTAAGAGAAACAAAACAGTGTTTCAGTCATCGTCAACCATCGCAGTAAAAATCCGTTTGTAAAGCTACGTGCAAACGGATGCGACAACCTCCAACACTGTTGGGCCAACAATGTTGGGAGTTGTTACCTCCGTGTTGGCAGTGGTGCGCAAACGGATGCAACAATTCCCAACAATGCTGGGACCTTCAGTGTATCGTGGGAAGGATGCAAAACATGAGACCTTGTAAACTATGCCTAATACGCGTGCGAGGCCTCAATAATGTCGGAAAAGCTGTACAAACGGATCCAACATCGTTGCGCTACGCTTCAGCGATCACGGATTTCAAAGGAAGTTTGACCGGTTTCAAACTTTGCGCAAATACTTCGGTCCCAACAACACGCGTACGCAACAACATGCAACAGGGTGTGCAAATGGACGTAACATGTAACATCCATTGGCCAACAATGTTGCGTCAGTTCGGCACGGGGCTTATGAACCTTTGGGATAGTAATTGACAACTTGAGCTAAGTAGGCTCTTACTTAGGTTCGTCTTTTCTACGAAGGAGATATAGTTGTTGATCATCAGAAAAATAAATAAACTTGGGTTTTCAGTTACATTCAAAAATGGGAGCAAGGAATGGCGCAGTGGTGAGAGCGCTTGCCTCCCACCAATGTGGCCCGGGTTCAAATCCCGGCGTCGACGCCATATGTGGGTTGAGTTTGTTGTTGGTTCTCTCCTTTGCTCCCGGACGTTTTTCTCCGAGTACTCCGGTTTTCCCCTCTTCTCAAAAACCAACATTTCCAAATTCCAATTTGACCATAAATCAGGTACACGAAGAACTACTTTATGGGTGTGCTACCTCCAACTCAGTTTTTATTTATTTGTATTTATTTATTTATTTACAACTGTTTTTATTGTGATTAGCCTAACAGAGGTTATTACAGAACAGCATATCTAATGCTGTTTTCTTCTAACGTAAATTTGCAATCTTGTCAAACTCCTTGTCGAGGCAAACTCTGGCCTTGGTTAAAAATGATCTTTATCATGATTTAACTGTAGCTCACATATAAGACCCTGCTTGATCTTGCTTGACCTTGCTTGGCTTAACAGGTTGTCATATTTTTGGTCATTAAAATGGAAAATTTCAGGTTTTTAAAGCCTCAGGTTCCTAGATGTGGTTTTCTAAATGTATTTTTGTAGAAACGTTCAAGACTCTCACCCTCATCAATCTTGGTAATGTAGGCGTGACCAAAATGACACCACATGTCAACCATGACCTTTTCTTCCCTCTTCTCTCCATGAATTTGCCTTAAAACTTCAACAATTTTTTCCTTTATTCTGTCTACGTTTGCAAATCCAAGACATGTTTCCTGTTCAAATATAAAATTCATGGTCTATATTTAAAATTTTCGGTGTGTAACTA